TTCGGGGGAGCGGGAAAGGGCCCCTGTATGTGCTGTGCGTGGCTCTGCGCCTGGCACAGACCCCACCACCACCACCACCAGGAGAACCCTGTGACGCTCAGAGGAGGGGGCGCCGGGTTCAAGCGTCATCTAACCTGGTCCACTTCAGTGTCCTCTCCACGCAGCAGACGGCGCGAGCCCCTCACAACCTCACGTCCCTGCCCCGCCCAAACCTTCTCCTGGTTCCGTCTCTCAGAGAAAAAGCCCCAGTGTGCAGGGTCCGGACGCCTGGGGCCTCGCTGGCTTCCTCTCTACCCTACCTCCCCCTGCACCTGCTTTGCAGCCACCGTGACCTCTCGGCTGTGCTTGAACAGGACAGTCTTTGCATATTCTGTTCCTTCTGCCTGGAATGCCTTTCCCTCCGCCCTCACCTCCCTGGAGCCGGCTCACACCCCTCCCCGCCCCTGTGCCCGGAGCACCCATGCCCCGCGAGACCCACGACATAGTCCATCTCAGCTTTCGGTGGCGTCTGTCTCCCTCTGAGTCGGAAGCGCATGAGGTGGCATCGTGTCTGTCCTGTTCACGCCTCCGTGGCCTGTCCTGGACCAGTCTCTGCTCGTGGGAGATGCTCACAAACACGGGAACCGAAGGAAAGAAGAGAAACTGCCTCGGTCGCATCTTTCCAGCTTGAGGTCCTGAAAGCACTTAGGGGAAGGGAACGGGGGGTGTCCTTTGTGAAGGTGGCCTTGGGTTAGGTAGAAGGAACGATGGAGGCCGAGGGCAGCCCTGGTGGCTCAGGACCTCGGCCACGAATTGTCCTCAGAGCTGCAGCATTGACTTGGGCCTCAGGGCAGCCAGGAGCTGTTCCAAAAATGTGCAGAGGGCAGAAGCTCCAAGAAGGGCTGAGGCGAACCTGCCTTTTAGGGGCCGATGGAACCGGAGGCGAGGGCAGAGCCCAGGGTCCAGCGATGCTTTGTTTCCGCGCAGCCGCGCTGGCGGGTGAGGTGTCCCAGGGGCAGCCAGCCTGCTTCCTGATTGGCCAGTGCCCCGCCTCCGGCCTGTTCTGATTGGTTGGAGCCTCTGCCGGTCCAATAGGCAGCGCATCCGCGCGTCCCTCCTGTTTGCACCAGCTGCCAACCCGGGTGGCAGGTCACCCACGAGGTTCTGCACTTTCCCCCGCTCCCCGCGCGTGGGTGGCCACGAGGACCCCCATCTCCTGTCAGGACCCCGGGGGTCCAGCAACAACTTTTTTTTTCTTCTATTTATTTTATTATTTTTCCCATTGCTTTTCAGAGAGTGGAAGGGGGAGGGAGAGAGAGAGAAACATCCACTGGTTGCCTCCCCCAGGCACCCTGACCAGGGCAGGGGATCGAACCCACAACCCAGGTACGTGCCCTTGACCGGGAATTGAACCTGTGACCCTGCGGTGCTCAGGCCAACACTCTAAGCCACTGAGCCACACCTGCCAGGGCTGCTTTTTTTTTTTAACTTTAAAAAAATTAAATATATTGAGGTGACGTTGGTTAATACAATGACACAGGTTTCAAGCGTAGCAACGACTTTTTACATGACTCTTAGGTGGGTCTTCAAGGGGGTGCCTGGCCGGTCAGGACACAGAGGTAGCTGGTCCCCCCGAGGTGACCGCCAGAGGCCCAGGCAGCAGGGTTTTGACTGCGCACGACCCTGCTCACCGCGCAACTCCCCTGAATTTACAAACTCGCCCCATCCCTCCTCCCTGTCGGCAGCTACCCCGGAGAGCGGCACCTCCCCGCAGTAAACCACCTAGCTGATCAATCCTGGGGTGGCAGCCTGTCTCCCACGGGAGCTGAGACCCTCGCCTCCCTCCCCGGGGACCCAGCTCTGCGGGCTCGCGGTAACAGGCCAGTCGTCCCGGCTCCGTCACCACGGGGAGGCCCAACTCCCAGCTCATTTACTTGCAATCCGCTCACGGCGCGGATGGGGGTGCGGGAGCTCAGCGCACTCACCCGTCAATTTCCTCCTAATGCAAGATGGAGATGCAATTCCAGGACATTCATTTAAAACAAGAAAGCGATTCTGTGTAAGACGCCGGCGGGTCCCCGAGGGGCCGCACCGTGGCGGAGCTAATATACGGGGTCATCTGCTGGGAGGGCAACCGAATTAGGTGGCATTAGGTTCCCAGAGAACTGTCACCATTTTATTTTATTTTTGCAGCCTCGCTGACAGTGGAGACGGCTGAGAAATACAGGGTGGGGTGAAGTGGGTTCACAGTGGTGGCCGGGCTGGGGAACAGGGCGGGCACCCGGGCAGCGCAGCCGGAGTGAAGACCAGGAACCTGCCCCAAACCCACCCTGGGTCCCACTTGGCCAAGCTTCTAGCTTTAAGGTGGAGCCTTTACCGTGGGAATGGTGGGTGACACTGCCCCCTGGTGGCACCGATGGGCGGCGTACAACCTCGGGCCACAGGCAGACCCGGGGCCTAGTCACTGGTTTTCCCAAATCACCCCCAGCCGCAGCTCCGCAGCCCGATCCGATCCGAGTAGCGTGGAGTGAATGCCCCTGACGCTGCTGACTGCCCCGGGGCGCTTATTTTAAAAAAATAATTTTTAAAATATGTTTTATTGTTTTTTTAGAGAGAGAGAGAGAGAGAGATGGATGGGCTCCCTCTGCACGCCCCCCACTGAAGATCCAGCCGGCAACCTGGGCCTGCGCCCTGGCCAGGAATCGAACCGGAGGCCTCTGGGTGCGCCGGCCGACGCTCAACCAGCTGAGCCACACTGGCCGGGCTCTGGGGTGCTTTCGAGGTAAAATATCCACACGGTAAAATTTAACCATTTTAACCGGACAGTCTGCCGAGTCTGAGTGACCTCAGGTGCGTAGCTGAGGACCCGTCCTCCAGTCTTAGGACATCTCCTCCGTCCCCTCAAGGGTCCCCGATGCTCCTCCGGGGGCGCAGGCGCTTGCTGAGCCCATCGGCTCCCCGGCTCCGCCGTTTCGCCCTTTCGAATGCACAGCTTCGCCGCCGCTGTGCTTCGCTGGGCCGTGACTTTTACCTTTTTTGCTGCCCAATAGTCTTCCGTTTCCCGGCCATCTCTCAACCTCGCGACTCTCTCGCCAGCTCAGGGCTGTTGGACGATTCCAGCTTCTGGTGGCTACGGGCAGCCTCGTGCAGTGTCACCGGCCTACCTGTGGCCAGGCGGCCGGGCGTCTCCAGTTCTCCGCAGCCCGAGGCAGACTTTCCGGGTTGCGTGGGACGTGCACTGAAGGTATCGATGAAGCATTAGCTGTCTGCCGGCGACCGTGGCTCATTTCCGTCCCCGATTCAGGCAGGTCCTGGTGACCTCACAGCGCTGGGCACCGTCCGGCCTCTCTGCGCGGCCGCCCTAGTGAGCATGGGGCCCGGGTCCACGCGCTTTAGTTTGCATTTCCCAGCGACCGGCGAGGCTGAGCTTTTTAATTCTCCTAATATTTTGGGTTTAAGTAAATGACTGCAGTGAGTCTTGGCCCGGAGCCATCAAGGCTCCGCTCTGACGTCGGACCTGGTCTTGACGCTAAGAGAATTTGTCAAGGACCAAATAACAGGGCGGCAAGACTGCATGCGGGCTCATCGCCGGTACAAATAGAGAAAAACCTGAATAAAAGGACGGGGGTTGTCGGGAGCAGCTCCGTGGAGCACCCGCCACAGGGATCTCTGCTGCTGACCGTCTCAGTGAATTACCAACCCCACGCAATTGGGAGGCTTTCGCGAGTCACCGTCGCGTTTCCTTGTAACACTGGGATTAAAAACAAGCCCTGCCCGTTGTCTACACCGGGGAACACGGCGCCTGAGTAATGCGACGGGAGGGCACAGGACGCGGGCCGGCGAGCCGGTGGCTGTGTGCCCTGCCGCTCGGGGGTGGCGCCTTCCCGCCCCCGGTGGCCGCGTCCCTCAGCCGGGGTTTCATCACCTCCGCCTTCAGGTTAACGAGCGGCGGCCGAGGAGCGGGGAGAAGCCACCTGAACGCGGGCTCGGGGCGCCTTCGGTTAGGGGACCTCCGTTTCCGGGGTCTGTGGGCTCCTGGGAGCGGGCGGCCCCTCTCCCGTGTCCCTGTTTAGAAGGCGAAAGAAATGCGTTCCAGTAAAATAAACGAATATGCTTATCCCGACCCTTTTAAACGCGGTGGCAAAGCCCAGGTGGAGGCTCGAAGGCGAAATCCCACTTCATCTCGCTGCGCGTTTTCATTTAGGAGGCAAAACACCAGGATTAATTCTCTCTCAAACCGGCGCCCGCCCGCAGTCCTGAAAACGAAGCCCGACGGGCAGTCCCCTTCCGGTTTTCCTTCCTAGACTCTTTCGGGCGCGCCCGGCGGGGGCTCCTTCCCGCGGCAGGCCATGGCGCGGCGCCTTAGATCTGCACTTCAGACCCTCTTAATGCGACACAAGCCGCATCTGGGACCACGCCGGGAGCCGGCCGGTGAAGTGGCTTTAGGTCTGATTACGGCGAGTGATTGAAAATCCCTGCTCCCGGTAACCGGCCACTTACCCAGCCGGGGCCCTGACGGGAACCGAACCGCGACCTCCTGGACCCCAGGCCGATGCCCACCGCTGAGCCCCGCCGGCCGGGCAGGGCCACGCTCTTCCGTCTGTTGTACTTTATTGTAAGAAAACGGTATAGAGCACGCAGGTCGCGCAGCAGAGGTGTTAACCGACCGTCACGGGTCGGCGAGGCTGCGGCCTACAGCCGGCAAAGCGTATCCATCCTGACTCGTGCACACGGGAGCCTAAAGCTTCCTTGTAAAGAGCTGGATGGAGCCGGAGCAGAGGAAGTGAGTGCGTGAGGGCGCCCGGCCGATACCGTGAGGCTGGGGTGGGAACGCCCCGAGGTCGGGGAAACGTGGCACCGTCCAGGGTACGGGGAAGATGGAGACATTTTCGCGTTAAACGCCCCTTAAAACGATCGCGGCCAACA